TAGATGCTAGAGTCAGTAGGCTACTTGTTACCATAAAAATTACTCATGTAAGCAAAGTTCACAGAAAGAGGTCTCTACCATTGCTCTTCAAACACACACAATAAAACATTGTTTAATTGTGTTCTCGTTCAAGGGTAAGAAAAACTCAACGTATAGTATACAAGGATGCCAGGCATTCAAGTAACAACATTTTGCACACAAATCCCAAGTGGTGATCCCATGCAGTGACATGTTGGGGACCTTTCTTGTGCATAAACCTGGGCTTGCCGCATTTAATGTTCTGATTTTAATCTATGTCATTTTTCTCTTGTTCTTCCAAAATATAGAGGGTTATTAATATAACCAATTGGAGGTCTTGTTTTCCTTTCCCATTCAAACCTCGTACCAGAGCCAATAGATATTTTGAATACATAAAGAATACTGAATCGGGTCCTTGATTAGTGTTTGATTTATACCACAAAGACCACAAGATTCAGAGGTTGCCAAGGCAACACCACTTCAACCTCCTTACATTTCAGCTTTGATATGAAACCTCTCATTATATAAATGTATCACAACACCAGTCAGCATGACAGGCTATTTTACAAATATGCCTTCACAGAGCAGACAGCTATATTCTTCTCTTAAATAGGGGGGGAAAGGCAGGAGTAAGGTTACCTTTTACTAAGGAGGAGAGGGGAGGGGCATAAATGGCATTCCAAGTTATATAGGCTTTAGTATGAAATTGTATCCTGAGCCTTCTAATACAGCCAATAAATTTTGTATTATTTGGCCAAAAATCCACAAAAGGGCAGGAAGCAAACAAAACAAAAACCCCTAAACACACCACACAAGTAGAGTCTGAGCCTGAGATGCTAGAATTTTGAGCAACTGGAACTAACAACTGCATATAAAAGCTTTACTGAACCACTGGAATCTGATACTCCAGCATATGCTTAGAACTACAGTCCAGGCAAAGTCTAGTAAAGCATGAAAGACCTATCAGGAATCTACTGACACTTTTTTAACCCCAATTTTGAGGTCTAAAGTGGTACTTAGCAATATACCACTAGCCTTCTTTACTGAGCAGTATTCAATATGCAGTAGTCTACCTACAGTTACGCTCCAGGATCCTTCGGCAAAGCCAGGCTCCTGCAGGAGGAGGGCTCTGTTAAAGATGATTACTTCTGTGTCTCCTTAGTTTTCTAGACCACACCGAGTTTGAGCAGACTACAAGCTGATCCAGAATGCACAAGGCATGGCTGGCTGGGTTAGCAACAGGATGGCAATAGTTCCAGATGCATCCCTCCAAATGCTTCCTCATGCCCTAGCACCCTCTGTGCTGCCAGGAGGCTTTCCAGAGACAGTATTACTAACAATCAGCTAATTCTGCATCATCTAGAGACACTTCAGCATAAGCTGAGAAAGATGACTTTTCTAAAGAGAATATTGTTACAAGTAAGAATATGCATAGATAGTTGTGGTTATGGAAAAAAAATGAAAATTGGAATGGTCTGGGCTTAAATTTTTTAGTTCTCTCACTTCTATTTCTGGCTTGTAATTTCCAGTTACACTTTTCTGACTGTGACCCTGTGACATACTGACCATCCTCAGCGGTACAAAAAGTAAATCCAATGGTGTGTCACAAGAGGAAGAGGAGCAAAAACATCACTAGGAGGCACATACAGTACTAGCAAAGCAACTGCTCCTTCATCCTGTCAATTATGTCCGTTCCAGGTCAGACACAACTGCCCCTGGTTTGCAATGACAAAGTAACACCACTTACAAATATTTCTAGTTGAATGTAACAGCAGCTCCCCAATTACCCCAGAGTGCCCGTTTGTATGGTTGCTGCAAGAAGAAATCCCTCTTCACTTGTGAAGAATGTCACTGAAAAAGGTTCCTTTACAAGTTATCCTATCTGCTACGCCCTCCACATACTGCAAAATGTTCAGGGCGTGGACTATCTTGGACCACCCAACTGCATGCAAAGCCTTGCTGTACTGTCTATAGAACCAGTTTCACTACAGCGCCAATTCCTGCTGTAATCCCAAAAGATGAAAGTGTTGCAAGACTGTAGATGTGCACAGAATTCCCAGTTTCACTAGGTAATGGAGTAATGTACCACTTATGCTCCTCTTTACTTCCCCACCACCATGTTGTTTCTTTTTCCCTAAAGCATTCAGGTGATGAGTCAAATAACCAACTAGTGGCTGTCCCAAATCCTTCAGGCCACTCTTTCCTATCACCTTTCTGGTTTGCATGTTGGGGGCTCTGAAGAGGGCAAATTTTATACCTAAAGTCCAAGGCCCCCAAATTTAAAACAAACAGCCTATCACACACACACAAAAAAAAAAAAAAAAAAAAAGGTTCCTGAGAGACACAGTTTATGTAGGACAGCTGGAAGACTGACATCAGAATCAGGTATCACTCTGCAATCCAGTCAGCCCTAACACATTTCCACATAAAGTGGGCCATGGAAGCTGGAGAAGAGCCAGTACAGCAGAATACCTTCAGGGTTATTTTGCACAGGACTATGCAAATTCTTCACAAAGCTGAAGACCTGAGATCAGAGCTATTTGCTTATCAACTTTCACCAGCACTAAAACTCACATAACTAACCTTAGAAGACAGCATCTTATGCTGAACAATATTGCTGAACAAGCAGTTGAATAAAATCAATTACTTAAGGGTTTTTTAAGCCATACATTTCCTTAATTATTGTCAGATATGCAGGTCAACAAAAAGGAAGATTGATTTCTGGATAAACAGAATAACTGTGATGTTAAAATGTTGTGTGAAAATACAAATTGTAAATTAAACCATTTTAATGATCACTTTAGTGGAATGTTGGGAATATTCAGGGAACACTTGCAGTCAAGAAACTATACACACCCCCATCTGCCCATCAATGGCATAATGCAACAACCTCTTCAGTCTTCATCTTCTTATCACTTACACCTTGCTAATCAGGATGCATTCCTTCTTGGCCAGCCATATATTTGTACTGATTAATGTAATAGTAATACAATGACTATGCTGTTTGCATCAGCAATGTTAGAACAAATTGACATTAGCTGGAAAAGTCAAGTCAGTCTTATCTTTTGTGACCCAGTGCTGTCATCTCATCTGCTCACTGATACATGTTGTGCCCCAAAACGGCCCTCAGCATCCAAAAAGCAAAGTAACCCCAGACCTGTCCCTGTAGAGAATCAGGGAGATGAAATAATGTTTTAGTTGTCTAACAGGCTCATTTCTGTAGTGTCCAAGAACTTCCCAGCAGTGCCTAAAACAATGCAACTAACAATCATCATTTGTTGTTTCCTCCAGGAGAGAAATTTGTGCCATTCGTGCCTTGCTTTGCCAGGGAGTTTTGGTCTGTTTTGTGGTAGATTTTTTTTCAGGCTTTTGTGGGGACAAGGGAAATAGGTTCTGGTTTATGATTTTGGGTTTCTTAGTGCTTCATCAGAGGAGGCGTAGGAATCAAGAAAATGTCACCTTGCCCATGAAAAGAGTAGTCGAGATCTGCAGTGGTGCTCAGTTCTCGGGAAAAATTGCACACAAACTGCTTTCCAAGTTCTCTCCCACAAAACACTGGCTAGGAAATCTGCATTTCCAGCATCAGTTTATCTATACCAGTACATAAAATAAAGCCAGGCATCTATTCCCCACCCTGACTGGAAGCATCATAGAGCAGCAGAGCAAAAGAACCAGTAAGTTACACGCAATAACCCACTGACAACATACATGCTTAAAGCCATTCATTGGGCTTCATCCCTTCCCTCCTCAGTCCCTTCCCTAGCGTACATAAATCAAAAGATGGCAGTTGCAGCATTATTTCTTCTATGCCTTCCCATTGCTTCTTTCCAAATCCTCACTCCTCCATGGGTAGAGGAGCTGTTATACAGCTCTGTCTGTGTGTGTGTGTGTGTGTATACATATATACACACACATAGGCCTTCCACTCTAACAAGAGGAGGGGAAGCACCATATGAAAGGATCATAACTCATCCATGCTTTGTGAAAGCATGGTAAATACAAAGCCCTTGTATCCACACTGTGGCTATACATGGCTTTGTACTGTGAAAGATAAATATACTTTCCAAAACAATACAGACAGGGTTAAGGAAGACCTCACCCCTAAAGACAGCAGCATCCAGCATAAACTGAAAGCAATTCCTGTAAAAGTAAAGCTGCTGAAAGGAGAGCAGATGTTATAGAAAGTATGCATGTATATATAGTATGTATACCATATGCATGCTTGCATATGGTATACACATCTATGTTCTAATTCAAATTTCTAGTAGCAAATTCAAGGAAAGAATAAATGCAGAACACCAAAGCTGCTAGAGAGAAGCAAACAATGAATTAAATTCAGTTCCTCACAGAATAGCTTATTCAGTAAAACACAATCCCACAGTGTCTACTGGCTTCTTAATTAAGTCTTAACTACTGATTCCCCACTAGTAACTTCAAAATTGTACTGCTGCTTTTTTCAAGATGTTCATGATTTTCTACCAGGATGGCAAAGAGTTACCAAAATGCTCACCAGTGAAGTTTTTTCCCCATTGTATTCTTGTTGTCATTTATGGGTTGTTTAACATCAGAAATGCATTCTTAAGCACTTCCTCACTTGCATTATCATAGATTATCATAGGTAATGCAAGCCAAGTTCCAAGGACAGCATTGTTAAGTGTCTGAAACAGGTAATGAATACTCACTCCATCTAGACAAGAGATGCAGACAATACTGTTCCTCTTCTCTCAGTTCTGCCAGCTGCTAACAGCTTTGATAGTAAGCTGAATACTTGTAAATGCCTTCATCTCTTACATTAAGAAAAATATTAATTAGCTTTGTCTAAACAGAGAACAAACTTAAATCCTACCAACATCTATTTAAGGATTAAATCCCCATTCTACTGATAGGTTAACGGTGAGCAAAGCCAAGGGCTATTTCACATTCTTATCTGGCATACAGATAAGTGAGTAAACTACAGATAACACTGTTCATGTGACACTCACCTGGTGTAGCTTCTGCCAAAATTCAGGTCCATCCTCCATTTTTCTTAAGCTTGGTGGAATGTACCAAAAGCAAACATTTGCATACTCCGGCTAAACAAGAGAACAAGTGATTTCTTATAAGATATAACAAAAGGGACAGGAACACATATATATAGTTTGTCAAAGAGTTCTGCTTTTTTTTTTTTTTGGAGGGGGGGAAGCCTTTGAGTTTATACCCTTTTCATTAAAACTTCAATCTCCAACTAACCTCTTGTTTCCCTTTTTTGGAACTAGAAATAGTTTTCATATCATCCATTTCTTTTCCTGCTGCCAGCAAAAGGAAACCTGTTGGGGTTCCTTTTTCACTTCTTCTTCCTATATACATATTTAACATTGCTTTGCTCACTACAAATTTTGATTAGAAAAAAGGGTAAGAGAGCATAGAGAGGTAACTTACAGATTTAAAAACTGAAGCAACTTTAAAGAGAAGAATACATTTTCTTTTTAGTGTTTTTCTTAAATGGAAATTTCCTATGATGCATTTTACACAAAACACAAACTCAATTTTTGTCACCATTTAACACTTGTACACCTAGTCATTTTTCTGCTGAATGCTGCTTATCTCCTTTTATATCATATATCACACAGCACACTACACAGTGCTGGAGTTAATGCTGGTTTTCTCAATTTCCACATTTTATAAGAATCTCAGGACCCCTTGCAGGGTACATGCCATATGCTGGATACATCTTGTCCAATATCTAAGCAGGCCTTTTGAGCAAAGACTAAGACTCCAGATCTCTGCTTCCCTCCAGAGAAATTTTGCCTTTAAACTCAGCAGAGAGTTACCTGCAAGACTCCCAACAAGAATGGCTGTTCACCATGCACCATAAAATAAGGCATTTTGTGCTTATGAGGTTTCTGTTTCATACGTGATTGAGGAAAAAGTTCCCAGCAGACCAGTCCAGGGCCTCTCTACATTTCCTGCTAATTCTGAACTTTTTTTTTTTTTTTTAACATGTACAGATAGCAATAGCACGAGGAATAGATGTGCCTTCTAATCCCATCCAACATTACCCATAAAACCACTCAGTCAAACTTGACCTACATTATTTGCAACACAGTATGTAACTGGGGTCTACATTATAACATGGATTATAAACTCACACACCCCTCTTCTCCTCCCACATGCCATCCTCATTAGTACTGGTTGAAAGGAAAAAAAATTGAAGTTAAAAGGGAGCTTAGTAGCTGGGTCACACCATCTCTTTGCCCCACTGTGAACATGGCTGCTATCACAATCCCAGGCAGTTTCCTGAACGAGGAGAGCCCACCAGCTGAGACATGTTCTTTCATGAAAGGGCACTGAGAACTGCTCATATCATTTTCTGCCTCACTTCAAAGAATGCATTAAATACAATTTAATCATCAAGAAGAATATCATTGTCAGCAGGAACAGAGCTGCAAACCTGCCACCTGCTGCCACTGAATGAAATAAAGCTCAGCTCTTAAAGTCCCATTTCTTTCCCCAAAGAGCATGCATTGAGTACACACATAAACACAGACCCTGAAAAGGCAGCGGCTTCTTCATGAGCACAAGCACTAGCTCGCTGTTACAGGGTTTATTTTAAAACTATTTAAAATCAGATGGCAGGAGTAGACAGATGGCATATATTACCATATTGCTTATATTGCCTTCTTGATTATCTCAGTTTCCTTTCACACATCAAATACATCATCCCCCTCTGAAAATACCATTCATCCTAGAAAAACTTAACTACCCCCATGCTTCACTATTTCTGGTTATCTTGTCACAGCTCTTATCCAAGCAGGTAAGCAATTATACCACAGAAGAGTTCAAGATGACTCAAGCGCAAGTGGCACTTCCAGGCCACAGAGCGTTTCTTGTTGCAGGAATTTCCTCACTGCATGTATCAGAGGATCATCTTCCTGAGCTTCTTGTCCAAAGTCCAACTTCCTTTCAGAAAGGGCTCACATAACTGGGCCGAGCTGCCTCCCAGCAGTTTTTCTTTGAATTCTCAGTGCTTGTCCCCCTGCACCCCTGAAAACCTTTTCTTACCCCTTGCTCAGTTTCCTTCTCATAGCCCGTACTATAGCACTCCCTCCAATCCCACTTTTAATCCGAGTGTCCTGTTCCTGCAGGAACTGAATAGCAGCCTCTGCTCTCACCAACAGCTTTCACATGTACAGTAGATCTGGGCTCTCTGCTAAGCTCTACAATAACAGAAAATGGAGAGCTTTTAACAGACTTGCCACTTTAGGAACCCCAGCATGTGCTGCTGGCCCGAAATTCTTTACTCCATGTAAAGTTTCCCAGTATGCACTTTGAAATTAGCCAATTTCAAAGTTAAAGGGAAAAGTTTATATTATATGAATAGTATAAAACATTTTTTATATTTCATATTTCTTCTAGCCTAACCCGGAATGCTCATGGCATCAGCAAGTGTAAAGCAAATCTGCATCGTTTTGGTTTGCTGGTCTCCATGTGTGGCACTTACTTGGTTCCCCTTCCTCCTCCATGTGGTCTCTTCCTCCCCACACTACACACCCAGCTGTCTTTCACACACACACTTACACACACAGTTTCAACAATGCAGGTTTTTCTAAAAAGACAGGTCTTTGCAACATCCCCAGCATGTTAGTCTTATTAACCAAAGAGCTGAGGATAAGTGAAAAAACAGCGCTTTAATTCTGCCCCCTTTACTCACTCTCCCCCAAGCAAGATCACCAAGAGGTTTATTACTGACAGATTTAGCAAAGATGAATGAAAAACACAATATTTGGGTAGTTTGGGGGAAGATTAGTGTAGAAACAGAATTAAGGAAAAAAACACGGACTTTAATCATGAAAAGTCCATTTTTAGGATCAAAATATTCTTCCATCCAGCAGACAGTCTTACACTTAAGTCTGGCAAGCACTGCTTTTCTGTAGCCAGACTTTTCACTTTAACAGAAAAGAGCTCCATCTATACCCCCTTAGGCAATACAGGCCCAGAAGCTAGGAAAATAGGTAGAGTAATGGTAGGGAATACAGAGCATGTTATATGTGTTCAATCACATCTATGTATCTCCAATACATAAACTTATTATATTATATACTTCAAATACATAAAGGCAATTGGCTAAAAAGAACAAAATCAAACAATAGACACACACAACTCCCCAATAACGACACCAGTTCAGTACCATTTTCACTTACCTCCAAAAGAAGCTGGAATCCCTCTCTTTTCTTAATTTCCTCCACTAGGTATCTGTAATTAAAAATGCAGGGTTTTAAAGCATAGAAGAAAACAATACGTACAGACAACAACAAAAAAGGTCTTGAACATGTACACACTTTTTTTTCCTCCTCTTTTTTCTTCTTTTCCTTTTTTTTTTTTTTTCCCTCCCTAAAGAAACCAGAGTTAAACCTCATCTCTACCTGCTGTGAAAATGCAGTAGCTATCAGTTTCTGAAAACAAATGAAGGCTACAGCCAGCCAAGGAGCACTGAGGAGAGCCCAAATTCTGTCCCCAGGCAGAGATTTTCAGTGGAGCCACATGGCACAATTGATCCTATTTGCATCAGGCTGTGAACTTTCCCAATGCAAATTTCCATTGATGTTGCTCTCTACAAATTAATTCCTCCACCTCTTTTTCTCAAGTGATGATGCTGTGCTGCCATGCTATTTCATGGTCAGCCTGGTATCTCTTACACTACTACTGTCACCAGGACCTCTTCGTTTAGCCCAGAATTTAAAAGTTTCCACATACTTCAAGGCCAGCAGTTTTCCTAGTACTGTCCTTATTCCACACTGTATGCAACAGTGCACACTTCCATTCAGTGAGCCACTGCTGATGCACAATAATCCCTGGGCATCCTATGCTAACAATGCATTGAAATAAGTATTTCTTTTCTCTTTCACCTGTCAGTATGAAAAACACAGAAACCTTCAATAGGAAGATGGATTTGAATCAAAACTTTGGATCCAAACAGCTTCAATTTATAGAAGTTTTTTAAAACATGACCTCAACTTTGCCATGGCATACATCACACAGGAATTCTGAAGCAAAGAGGACACCGTGACATAGCTGGGACTTCTCTTATTCCCCCCCTTCCAAAGTGTTCCCAAGGAAAACTCCAAAGAAATCACCTCAAATTCACACAGCTTTTCCACTTCAACAGAATTTTAGTCCTCTACACAAAGATTTTGCTGTCTAACAGTAATAAAACTGAGACAGTTGACTACTCATTGTGTACAAATCTGTTCTTTTGTTGCATTTATTTGGCATTTTCCTGCCCGTGGCTGCATTACTGGTCATGACACAAATAATTATTTTATCCACTACTTGAGGAAGAAGAATACCGTCAGAATAACTCCCCTTGGTCCTATCCACATGCCTGAAACCCACCCCCACAGGGACATCTCTAGCACAGTTGTATCTGAAATGCCTGCTATTCCGCAGACGTGCTGCAGAAACAGGTTGGCTAGGGAGCCAGTAAACAATACCCTAGATGGTATATGTTTTTCAAAACAGAGCATAGGGAGTTGTCATGCTGTTTATCATTAACAAGTATCATGCGTGTGACTCATTACCTCTTAGCACACATCCCTGCAAAATGATTGCTGTGGTAGAGTGCCAGTTCCCACGACACACAGCTCTGAGTTGCGCCGCACTGTGCACTGTTGAGATGCTTCCTCTCACTATAACAAGTTGAGGTTCTGGGTCTTTTCCGCCATGACCATTTAGATCCTACTGTGTGTATTTCTTTGTTACCTGGCTGTTAATGCCCACGCTACTGTTTAGGCTGAAAAAGAGGCATGCTGAAAGGTAAGTAGGAGACTAGATATCATGTGAGCATGTTGGGAGGAACTTGTTTCTGTAGGGGAATTGTCTTAAGTAAAAACAAGCTCAGTCCTTTTGTCCTGTTGATGAGAAGATACTTGTCTGTGCCATAAAACCAACATTCAGCAAAATCAGCAGGCTATTCACAAGACAGTGGCCCTCCATTTTTTTTGTTTTAATTAAATCTTGAAAAAGAAACCTACTTATGACCACCTTTCCTCTGACAGTTCCCCCTCCCCCTTTTTTTTTTTAGGTCTTAAATTGTTAAAAGCTATTTTACAATGCTTAATACCCTTCCCTCTTATCACAAGTGCCTTTTTTTTTTTCTTATACCACCATCTGACATAGGATATCTGATGTCGGTCAAGCTCACAACACTGTTAATCACATTCTTAACTGCACTGCCAATAGCCTAAGAAGGCAGCCATTAGAAAATCCATCACCCATGACTTATCTTGCCAGGACCATTTGATGGCAGTGGAGCAATTTGCTTTGTGCATCTTTCCACAGTTGACAGTGGAATTTTATTATCGTGTCATGGTTGCAGAATGTTAGAAGGGCTTGAGTCTCAGTGAGGACTGGAGTGCACAGAGAAGTGGTATTTGCTATGATTAAGCCTTGCAGAAAATGAGGGGTGGAGATCTGCAGTGAAAGTAGACATATGTCTGCTAAGAGTGGGTGTCAGAAGAGGAATCAGGCAGAAAACCTGCAAAGATGCTGAAGCATAAAATGCAGAGCTGGTTATAGTTGTATTCTAAAAGCAGTTTACTTCTATTTTCTTTTTAGTGTACTTCATAAAGCAATATCCCTGCATCAAAAATAATTGGAAAAAAAAAAACCAACCAGAAGAAAATTTTCTGAAGTAATCAGCAGGATGCTCTACTGTAGGTATTTTAAAAATAAGCCTTTCCAAATAGGTAGCATCACAATGTTCCTGGGATATCTAATACACTGAAAATATGATTTATCTCCAGAACAAGAAGAAATTAATGGAATAGCCAATAAGCCAAGTTTGATGCAACAGAAATACATGCTTGCCATTACCCTAAAACCTTTGCAGCTCTGCCTGGCCATGGGGGGAAAAAAGTAATCTTGCTGTTAAATTCAATAGTCACTGGACTAGTTCCAGAATTAATCCAGGTCTGTGTTCAGAAATGCTGAAATACTGTCTTTGCAACATCAAAGTAACACCTACTGTAACAAATCAGGAGAAAGGCTGCACAGCTGTTGAGTAGTTAGGAAGCCTGGCATAGTGCCCGTGTCCATGCAAACCCAAGGTAGCAATGCAGCTACTGTAAAGAATATACTTCATCACATAATGACCAAGAATTAAATTTCTTCTTAAAAAAAAAAAAAAAAAAAAAGAAAAAAAAAAAAAGGACAACCCAGTCACTCCTTGGGAGCGCTACCAGCTGAATCCTAACATTCAAAGAAAATATCGATCCCAGAAAGGTCATTAATCACTACACTCTGTCAAATGACCTTGCCCAGTGACCTTGATAAGGCTCAATTCTCCTACTGATAGTGGAATGAATTACTTAGTCTGTAGAGACACAGAACAGTACAATGCTTTGGAAAAAAACCAAGGTGCAATTTAACAAGAAGATATTAAGGAACACTTAACCACCCAAACAATGAATGGCTTTAAAGAAATAAAATAGAGAAAAAAGCCACAGCTCATTTGGGCTTTTCTGGTTTTGCTTCTTTCTTTTTATTCCTTTCTCATCTACTCTGGGTTTAGGTCATGGGTATTTTTACCTTTTCTTTAAGTGACTTCATTAAAGTGAGACTATTCCTTTAATTGTCACTGGAGTAAAGATTCAATTCTTTTCAACTTGGTAGTCCATATCAAAAATAAAATGGCAATATGATATGGGTGACTTTTTCAATATTAATGATTTGACATATGGTAGCATATAGCTAGCCCACGAACTGGTGAAGATTTCATTGGGGTTTATCTTGTATAAATTCTGAACAAATATGATACTTCAGGTGAATTGTTTTTAATGGGCCATTATCTGATAGAAGAAATAATATTGAAATAAGATGACAAAGCAACCTGTGTATGGAAGTTTCTTCCCAGAAACTGAGACATCACCATCACTTTAGAAACAACTTCTAGCAAGAATTTTGCAGAATTCACTTCTGAACCTCCGTTCTGCAAGACCAAAAACTTAGTAAAATTGAACAGGGCAGGCAAGGGGAAGATCGCAAGCAAAAGGTGCTTCAGTCCCTAACAGAACACACTGTAAGCATTAAGAACTTCAGCAAATTTGTGGAGAAAAAACAAGCAGTATCTCAGAACAATATGCCTTAATAAACCTCTACTACATCCTAACATTAACAGAGTGTCCTCATACAAATTTCCCCACATCAGCTTTCTGCGTTTCCTCAGTCATGAGGAATGAAGTGAAGAGAAGAATGGTTAATTCACTTCTTGCTAGACACAGCTCAAGAGCGTGGCACATAAGGCTCCTTTTACAGTAACACCAGAACACAGTTATCAATTAGAAAAAGGTGTATTGGCAAACCTGTCCTAAGTCTGGTTCAGATAACACAAATGTTAAACAACATAGATTGATAGTCGAATTTGTACTTCTATGTTTACCAACACCTATGCTTATTGCTAAAAGTAATAGTTACTACTAAATATTGTAGCAAATGTAATAACACTAATTATTATTGCTATTAGTTTCTCCTATTATACACAAACAAAAGGAGAGGGGGAAAAAAAGTAACAATGTGGTCTGTTCCAGGATACGGAGTATCAGCAGTGTCAACATTTCAATCAATTAAACAGACTAGACATATTCAAAATTGTGAGGCAGTACCTAGCCAAAGCCAGTGCCCTGTTTACTCTCTCCTCAAGGCCTGTGGTTCCCAAGGCTTTCCACATCAGCCAGAATTTGAAGGCATCCGGACGCCTGCTGCACTGAATGGACTTGTCACCAGTGTCATAGCTGACATCGTAGAACTTGTCCTGCTGGAACAAGTATGCAGCCTTGGCAGAGTAACACTTCTTCAGGAGGCCCTATTAGAAACACAACAGAGACTTAGATTGCTGATTAGGATTTTCAAACCTTTTTATCTTCACAAGCCAAAGTCTTTTTTTCCTGTCTGTACCAACTGCTTAGTAAAACAGAACTGAATGTGCAGGAAACTATCCAAAGTTTATGGTGTAGTTTAAGAACCCTGGATGAACCTGAACCCAGTGAAGTCAGCACTGACAACAAGGAAACTTCTTTTTATTATTATTTTCTTCATTAATGTCACTGAAGAGTTGCAGGTTGAAGAGGAATTCCGACTCAGATCTCACAAAACCATGGGATTGGGTGGGTGCCACAGAAACAGTTGCCCGAAGACATACATAGGTGGTGGGAAAGAGGGAAGAGAAAGGAGAAGCTTATGTCCACTGCTCCAGTCCATAGATTAGAAGAACAGCCCCTAAGCAGCTTTCTACATGTCCACAAATGGCTCAATCTATTCCTTCTCTGTCAAACAAAGAACTTTATAAATGGCACAGTTAGTTGTAGGTAGGGAAGATTTTTAGCCCCAAGAAATAAATGTTTAGCCCTCACCAGAAAACGGTCACTGAGGATCTAGCATAGGCTATCTAACTGTTTGAGTGGAAACACCACAAGGAGACTAGTACAACTTCAATTTTTGTCTCTTTTCACAGTTCAGATAATTTTAACATTTGAAAATAAGCCTCAGAAAAGGTACTTTAGCATACCCTAATTAAGGTTTGTTAATGAAATTATTTTTATTCAACAATCTCCAGTCTCCAACTTCTGAGAAGCTGTCTTGGCAGAGATGAGCAGCAGAAAACAGACAAAGATAAATGAGTAACATGACAAGTTCCAGCAAATAACAAAGCTGGGAAACAGAAAGGAGGCTGTCATAGGTTTAAAGGTGCAAGGGAAGAGAACAGGCATAGGACTGGCCATTGGCTGAAGAAAGAAATATCAAAGTATACTCTGTAATTCTATGAAGTAGAGAGAAGGGCTGGCAGAAAGCAGGTTACAAGAGCAGAGATGAGGGTGGCCCTACAAGGAGTCCAGGAGACAGAAAATTGTAAATTTGTCAGTGATATTAAAAGTGGGTAAGAGAAATAAACCACAGTCTATAAGATAATACCAGAATAGAAATTCAGATGAGGTTAAAAACATGGCTACAGCATCTAATTCAGACCTGCAAACATGTATGTAAGTGACAGTTGAACCAGAAGTCTTCCATGCAGAACAGACCAAGGAACAGAAGTGGACAGCATGACAGAAGTTGCTAAACAGTATCTCAAAGAGCACAATTCATTTTCCAATTCAACACCACTCTTCAGTTTGAACGAACTGAAAAAGCATTTCACATTTCATCCTTTTCTCTGCATCTGCTGCAAGTCTGATTTTAAAATGGCAGACAGTGTCTGACTTCACTCTTAATCAAAGTGTCATATTCCTGTAACAGAGGTACAATTCTTGATCTACATTACAATACACTACTGATAACTTTGGAACTGGCAATAAAATAGAGACTAAAAGGTCAAGACAAAAAAATCCAAAGGAGAAATAATCCACTGGCATATACAAAATAAGTCTCCCTCTCTCCTAGCCTTTTCAGTTCCCTCCATCAATACTAAAACCAAAACAAACAAAAAAACCAGCCTGCACACCTATTCATAGATCACAAAAGGAGAACACAACTAAAGGTTTCTCCACAACTTCTGTAGGGGTTTGCCAATCCCACTGTAATACCACTGGTTTGCAAAAAGGACAGCAAATTCAGTCTGAACTCTTTAGCCACAGGATCAGCACATTCAGCCTCGTGAAAAGAGTTTATGTGACACCTTGGGGAAAAAAAGGGGCAGCAGCTGCTCTCCCTCTGCAGTGATATTGTGCTGCTGCAGCACACGGTAGCCATAGCTGAAAAGCCAATGCTGGGTGCAGTTTTTTGCCATAAGATACTCACATCTGCTTTCCAACCTTCTCAGGAAAAGAAAGGCAAGAAGCTCACATTAGAAACCGAAGAAAAGTCAAGCACTGAAGCATACACCCTTTACAGTTTCTCTACAGCTCTTTGTTCTCTGGCTAGCAACTGTGCAACAGGAACAGGAGTCTGTTTGTCAAGCCATTGTGCCCTACTCATTTAGATCTCCATACCTTGATTTTCAGGGGAAATACAAGTTTACTAGACATGGTATTTAAAAAAAAAAAAAAAAAGGCAGCAACATCTACGGATTTAAGTTCATTGCTTTGTCTCTTACTGACTTTAAAATTCTGCAGTGTTTCTGCAGTGAGAGTATAGCAGGGTTGATCAATGTAGGACTATCTTCTGCCTTATCAGAATGTAGTACAGCTGCACAATAGAGGACATCACAGGATATTAGTTCCCCTCATGCCTGTTGTCTGAGAAAATAACTTTTGTTTGTCACAAGAAACCTAAACTCAGTTGGTAATATTACAGAAAGACTGACAAGTTCACCTAAGATCACAGTACAGCTGCAGAGTTTCATAGTTTAAAAACAAATGCTCTAGAGTGAAAATATAACAAGAACAAATAGTTCAATACCTCTGAGTGAACTCATGTTCCTAGGAACATATTACATGTAAAAAAAATAAATGTGGGTACTGTCCTACTCTCCTGGTACACCTGAAGCTGACAAGACATGCTGGCTTGATGATCCTTTTTCATCTGCTTATCTTACTAATAATGCAACATGCTCAAGAAATCCTGCTGAAGATACTGCCTGCTGTCAATCTCCAGAGGCAAGTACAGTGACATCCTCCAGCACATCACTAGAGCAGACAGGAAAAGAAAAAAAACATGCTTTGTGAGAAAGAAAGAAAGAAACATGCCAGACCAATGCAAGAAGCAGGGTGAACCAGAAAGAGAAGGGAAGAGAAAGGGAATGTTGCAGAATAGAGTTTGGGCAGGGAAGACAACAGAAGAGGAAAAAAAATCCAAGATAAATGTTACGCTCAAGAAAGCAGTTACTACTGCTGAAGACAAAGTCATCTCAGTTTTCCTAGTCAAATGATAGAAAAAAAGAAAAAAGGAAAAAAGTATGCTTTCTAACTCAACATTCTCAGTCCCAAGAAGACCCCAACAGTTTTCCACACAGTAACTAAGCTGCTTCATCTGTTCAGAAGAATTGCAAAAATTTCATTAGAACTGCCCCATTTGACAAGTTTGAGATTCTTTCTTCAGCATCTTTTATCTTTCTACCCTTTGTACAGAGACTAATGGTAGTGCTCTGCCTTATACTGGGGCTGTTAAAGTTTGGAAAATGGAAATACTATTTTTATGGAGGCTACAGTCCACTACAAAGTTTGAAATAGCCTTTGGTTTTGATGAAGCTGCAATGTGTTCTAATTAATGGCAAATAAATGAATAATTATTGATACTGAAATCAAGTTAAAGAGCTCCAGTTTCATAATTCAAGATATTTTTCTCATTGAACACACTTATCTACAGCAAGCCTTCTGTTGTCTTTCCATTTCCATTGCTAGTTAAAAGTGAATTTCAATTTCATTAACAAAACAGCTTTTTCCCCCAAAACAAACATCTTCCTAATTTGCCTCATCTGAAGCAATAAGGATGCTTTTTGAAGGCATACTTTTGAAAGGCATATTTGAAAATTCTCAAAAGCAGTGCAGTGCAAAAAGCCATCCCTGTAATACATCTCAAGAAGTGAGGAAGAGCTCTCAGTTGTACTAAGCCCACACAGAAAGCAATGGGAATAGAGTATTTGCTGCAACTGCCCTGGAAAGGAATCAGCGAAGTAGACACCTTTGTGATACTGCTAATTATGAGGAAGAGATGACACTGTAGATGGCTACTATGATCACCTCAATCAATTCTATTCTGTGCTAAACTGGGATTTCATTAGCTACATTCTTTGAGACTTTATTTTTAACTAATAAGTGAAAATTCTGCTCATTACCTAGAATTGATTGCTAATTACCTAACCTAGTGCTACACTCCAACAAGTCACAGAACTTCAGCATTGGTGATAAACGTTAGTTCTCTATTTATGGTGATAATATTCACATTTATATGGATTATAGCAAGGACAAATTAGAGTAGCTCTGTTGCCTTAAGGGTGTATGTAGAACCCAAGACTGATTCATAGCATTTTAAGAACACGTAAGAACAAAAGTTAACACTCATGTTTTGAGAATATCAGTCCATCTAGCTTTGTGTTTAAACAGTCACTGCAATTCACGCCACAGGAATACAAGTGTTTTCTGAGTAAGTCTATCTTATTATAGAAGTGATGAAATTTACCCAGGGCATGGCAGTGAAAAAGGGATAGCTGTGCATTTCCCGAGTGCTTTAAGCACTGAGGAACTGCTGTCATTGATCTGAGCTTTTACAGAGGATTAACCAATCTCTCTTTCCCTTTGGTGAAAACACTTCTCCCTTCTAAGCAAGTCAAACATTTGTTTCTCTTTTCACTCTCTATCTTCTTTGGAAATCATTCCAATTTTGTTTCACTAAGGCTGGAAGATAGTCTTTTACCAGCATTTCACTGCAGTTTATCTTTTTTTTTTTTTTTTTCCAATCTGTATAGGAAAATATTTAAGTACAATGTTTCATTCTAATAATCTAGCTGCAATGTCTTAAGCCTATTAACAGTGCTAAACCACATAGCTTTATTGATGCTATGTGGCAAAAAACCCAACACAAATCAAACAAAGCCAGTCACTATTACTTTTGCTAATGAGAAATTAGGGCATTACAATTACATCAGAAATGTGATTATTCCTTCTAAAGATTATCTTTTCATACATAAAGTAAAATACAAAGCTTGGGCTTGTTGAACTATCTATACTTTTGAAAAAAAAAAAAAGAAAAGAGAGAGAGAAAGAAAAACTGAAGGGGATTATTTGTCCACTTATAATCACCTAACACTAATCCTGAGGTAGTCCACAGTTTCCAAATGGACGTCAAAGCGAATGGGAAGACAGGCTAACAAAACTTCCTTAATCAGTCCTTCAAAGGGAACTAGGGCTTGATTCATAAATGGGACTTAACATCTATGTTTAACATTTTTCTGCTTTTATTTCTTGCAGAATTCACCACTTCAGAAACTACCTGAGGTTCCTCGAACATTCACTAGCAAAGCAATGTGTGCCAAACTCCTCCAGCTCCCACTGATGCATCCTAACCACAGTATGAAGGAATAATTATGTTCGCATATAAATATGTGCTTCATCTGCAGCCATAGGCATTTACGTAATTTAGGAGCAGTGGAACAAGCTCCTAAGTGAGAAACCAATACATGTACTCTTCCCTCCTCTTACTGGTGTGAAAATACCATTTTTAGTGGGAAACTGGATTCAGCTGCCTGTTCTGCGAAAGGATCAAAGCAAAGCCTTTCTTCCAAAGTGTCTTAAATATGCATTTGATCTTTTTTTCTTAAGGATGTATATTCCAACACTTTCAAAAAGCTGATAAGGAACTACTCAAATTTGTATGCGTGTCTGTCTGCATATAAAGACTGCACTGGCACATACACAAAACATTTAAGTGCCAATTTTCCAGGAATTCAACAGAGTAAAATGCCCTCTCCTCCCCATGCAGAGAAATCTTCTACTTTCCAGAAGACCTCTAACAGTACAACAGGATCTGATTGTATGATCAGTAATACTTGTGTTTTCACCCCTCAATGGCCTAGGATTCAGCTCTACAGGTACTTCCAGGACAACACTGCCTAGCTGTGATTTAGAAGTGGAATACAATTGCTCTACCAGACATTACACTCCAAGGAAGGAGAATACAGAAAGGCTGCCAGAGACCTGCAGTTGGAACAGTGTTTGTAAAGCTACTATAAATGCCAGGGACGCTAGAATATTTCATTCCTCTCCATTTCTTTCCTCTTTCTTCCTGAGAAATTTCCACTATGCAGCCCAAGTAGTCTAATCATTACCTGAGGCTATATCTATGTACTGGGCCTAATTAGTTAAAAATATAGCACTGAATTCTTCCCAAGCCTGCAACTAAGACACCACATTAATCTTAGTCAATAACTTCATTCTGCTTGTTTTTCATCCTGGAATAAAGATAAAGTGATGGATGGGTAGTCCTGGAGTCTAATCCTCTTTAATCCCACAGACTCTAGTTGAAGGAAATGAGGAAGCACACTTCTCCTTGCTGTCCTGCCATGACTCACCCCTGGCTTCGAGCAATGAGCTCCAAGAGAGCACTGATTAGCGTCTATGCTCTTTGGTCCTCATCAGTTCTTACTACCAGAAGTTAGTAACCAATTACATGGATAGCTAACCACTAGCAGCTGAAAAGAAACTATCAGCTCTTTTGACAGAGATTTATAAAAGTGATTTACAAACCCTGGCCACAAAACAGTGATGCAAACCTCAGGGGGCTCCATATCTTCAAGATGTTCAGTCATTCGTAACTATGAAGTATAAGCTAAAACTCACCCATGATGGTGGACAATGGGCATAAGTTTTAGCAGGGCTGAGTTTGAAATGGGGCTTGAAATAATTGCCCTCTTACTGGCTTCTTTATTAAGATAGAAGACTTCCATAAAGATATAAGCAGGGACTTCTACCACATTGCAGACTCATCTCACTTTTGTGCCACTTGAGGTCAGAGCTCTGTTGTTTGCTTGCTAGACCTTTTAATTAGTCATGGCTTTTGGTAAGCCTAAATCACCCTGGTGATGAGGAAGAACTAGTAGAGTGAGGAAAGAAGGCTCACCACCTTTACCTGCATATGCTCCAGCTCCTATCCCTCTCCTTTCCCACCCTGGAGCACCCATGTAAGGGGATGCAAAGAGGAGCTCTGCCTCCTTCAAACAGAGATGCAGTACTGCTGCAGTCCCAATGAATCACAGCTATTCTGAGGACTTTGATGAGCTCGGTGTTAAAGTGCTGCAGACCTAGGTGACAAAATACTCAATTCTGAATGCAAATCATGTACAGAAGTTAACTAGCAAGGGCACCAGCTGCAAAATTTGGCCACTGGTGAGTACAGCAACTTGGATCAGTTTGACCCTGCTCTCTTATTCACCCTTTATTAATTTTGTGGTGAAATTCAAAATAATATAATTCAGCCTTGGCACTGCAGTGTAGTAAAACTGACTTGCAGTTGTTTTCTAATTATTTCCACCTCCATATTACAGCAATGACAGCCTACTGCATTAAAAAAAAAAAAAAAAAAAAAGACAGAAGGACTTACAGAGTTGTCTTTCACCAGAAGAGCACAGCACTGGATTCCTGCCAACAGCATTTTATGGGGATTCCAGGCGACAGAATCAGCCCTGCAAAATTTATAAATGGAGAAAGGGAGGCAGAAATTGCACATATAGTCATGGGTACTAGAGAATCAAAAATGGCCAAATGCAATCTAAGCGGACAAATCAGATTTTCCATTTCACCCCCCTAGTTTCAGAAATCTCTCCAGCTAATAGTAATATGTATTTTTGGAAAATGCAGGTCTCATGGAAGCCAACAGGCCCTATGACCTCCATCTCAGTCCCTGCTAAGTGTGCCCATGAACTAAACTGACTTACCTGTGGATGCCGTGAAGAAGTCTGCAATGCTTCCTCGATATCAAAGCCGACCCACCCCAAGAAGCCTGTTGGAAAATTTATAGAGCCAAGACAATATTATTTGTAAAAAGTTCTTTTGATAATGCTTCAACTAATAATTTCTGAAGATGTTTTATCTCATTTAAAACTTAAGTTTACTACATAGTCAGTGGGCTAAATTTTGCCTTTAGTATCATCTACTGAAATAAAGATGGCAGCCTGGGGTTGTGCCTAAAGTAGAGGAGCTGATGGTTTGTGCCACTATGTCAGCCACAAACTACGCTGTCCCTTCTGTGTAAGCAAGGGCATGAACTGAAGTGTCCTTGCATAACCAGATCCATTCCTAATACTGAATCAGAGGTGCTTCCTTTCCCCCAGCCTAAACCTAAGCAGTGAGAGCAGAAAGCCCCATTTTGCATACCTTCTTCCTGCTAGCCTTTTCCTTTGAGACATTCACAAGGGAAACAGTAGAGAACGATAATATCTGCCAATTGCAAAGTTCATGCTCAGATTTTCCACTGAGTTTGGATATGAAAAGTGAAGTCCATGAGTAGGCAAGAGCAGCATTTCTGTTACCAGCAATCCAACTGACATTAAAATGGAGTAAGACTCACCACATCTCCCTCAGGGAGATAACCTCTAACCTAGGGTGGACCTTTGTGGAATCCTGCTCAAAATTTTCTCCCCTTTCAGCAGTGAACCACTGGAAACTGCTCTCTGGGTATGATTTTGCCAGGTTTTCACTCACTACCACAGCTGCAGCTTGGCAAGTTTCTCTGGCTTTCCGATGAGATATTGCAAAGACACAATGAAGTTAACTGCTTCTCCTCCAACCATGAGACTACAGAATGCAGGCAGATTGATCAAACTAGGTTGACATTTTGTTTATGACAAGTCCAGCTAAGAGCAATGCAGGGTAGCTCAAAACAAAGATTATCACCTGCGTCCCATGCAATGTAATTGGTAAGTAGGTATGAGAAAGTTACTGTGTTTCATATGCAACAAACCACTTAGAGCTGAACGATGGGAATCACATTGTTCACAGTGTCATTAAACTAACTACCTAAGCACAGGCTAATAGGTCAAACCTGATTTTCTGTACTGGTCTAGCCATAGGAAAAAAAGTCAAAGGACCAGCAGGGAAGAAACTCTTGTACATAGTATTTAAAGCTACATTAATATAATACATGACATATATAAGTGCTGGAGCTTGAGTGCATATTGATGATGCAAAACAAGTCATTAAGAAAGGCATCATAATGTATGATAGAATGCAATAAGCAACTGGAATGTGTGTATGAATGCTGTAACGTGCACAAAATAAGCCTGGTTATAGTCTCTGCACTTAGGCTGTTGAATGGCTTGACTGCTGAGACAGTTTGGGCTTACTGGTATTATCTTCTTAAAACAACTTTTTCCTTAACTCACTTTTCCTCTTTAGGTTTGTCTCCATGTGAGAGCTTATCTACTACTCCTGACTTCATTGAAATTTATCTTCCTGAAGCCCACTGATTTTATGCTGATGTTCTCCCTTTTGCCCTTCCTAAGAATCATAAGCTTTATCATCTCATATTCAATGAAAAGAGTCTCCCTAAGGCAAACATATCAATCTTCAGGATCAGAAAATATTCTGAAATGAGATACATAAGTGTAAATCTGGAAATAACACCACTGACATTCATATAAGATATTCTTATAAACAGCTCGAGACCATTTTCAGTAGATAATCTTGATTCCCAACAATGATACACGAAAAGTCCTAAATTAAACAGAACTTTCCCTGTTTTTTAATCTTTGTTTTAATTGTACTGTACATTTTTTTTCCTCCAAAGTTACAGCAGGCTCAAATACCAGTACTTACTTGCTATAACTCAGACTGCATAATGTGTAAATCATTCAACAAGAAGCCGGGCCTTTCAGAGGAATGGAGATCCTCAGATTTCAAAAATATGATATTCCTGCCTATAAAGCTAGAAAGGAAGCAGGCTTGCTTAAAAACAAACAAAAAACCCCAGCTCTTCACTATGTTTCTCATACACTCTTTCTGAATGGCAAACGCCTAGTCCCACTGTACCTTTTCACATATTCTAGCAAACCTATTTCTAATGGTGCTGTGAGTGAAAAAAGGTCACATTACGAATTACAGTCTGCTCATTTTACAGTAGCACATTTGTATATATGTGTTTGCCTAATGTCTCTTACGTGGAAAGTTTTCAGTCTTTTCCCCATACCCTGTTCTCATATAAATATAGCTAGAAACTTTAAACAAAAAAATAAAGAAACAGCCATCCACTCAACTCTTCATAGAGGGTGAAAGGAAAGATGGAAGAAATACTGATAGAACTCCTGAGAACCACTCAGAGGTTCATAACACGAATCACATCTTAACAGAACAATTGGTCTTCCAGACTATAAACCCAATTTATTACTGGACATTTGTCCTTCTACTTGGAATCAATTAACATCTGACAACAACAGTCACTCTTCAAACAGAAAATTAACTTTAAGATATTCACTGGCATTTTTACCTTAGTTTAACATGAGGCAAAACTGGAAGAAGTTAATTCTTTACAAAACACTATCAACCGCCTATGAAGTATATAGTTCAGAATATGGCCCAGGCTCATCCCACCCGATTTTAGTTATTCAGCTACAGGGAGTCTGTCAGGAAACCACTCATTGTCCTCCTACAGACACTGGAGATGGCTCCAGCCATGTCTATTCAATTCACCTAAGATCCAACACAGATTCTGAATACATCCCTCTTTCCACCAACTATACGCAGACACGCAAGAGACTAGCACCTAAAGTGAATGCTGCACTTCTGCTGAAAATCTGCTGGGTCATTCTCACCAGCACACAGCCATGAGGAAGCTTTGCAGGCACTTTAAATACTAGGGCTAAATTCTGCATCTTTGCCTCCAAGTCAATAAAAAAAACCTCTTTTGACTCACACATACAGCAACTTTATTTATTAATGTCTGTGAGACATTTAGTTGAAACACACATTGCTGCCTACATGATTTTTCCTCAGATACTCAACATTAAACAAACACTTCACAAATTTAGAGCAGGTCTAAGATTCTCCACTAATGTTGCTCCAGATTCTCTCATTGCTCCATGGCTTTTAATCTAACCATTCTGGATTTGTGACATTGCAATTATAAAGAAAATGCAATTTTAGAAAATATGAAGAGACCTAGTTTTAGAAAAATACATTTACAGCTAACTCTTTCAGGTAATAAAAAGGCTCAATGATTATTCCAAAAAGGTTTGTGAATGGATTTTAATATCCAAACCTAAAATTATAAAGAAATGAGAAAAGAAAAATTTCTTAACACTTTAGGAAAACATAAGGAGATCTATAGGAAACTCAAGCCTGTAAATATGAAACAGAATAATTTATGACAGGTTGAGCCAGAAATTTACCTGTATGAACCATACACCACAATTCTAATGTGTCCATTCTCCAACAGAATGTGGAAAGAATCCAAAGTTGTATTTGTATATAATCACCCTTGAAGCACTTTTAGGAGGTGGCAAGAAGAAGAAATCTATTCTAAAATAATTTTGAAATATAACCTGACAATGACAAAATAGCTTTGACTGCTTGTCACAACCAAATTATTTGCTGTTTTTCAGCACATGTAACAGAGACAAATCAGAATGTATTCCTGTTCTCTATGCAAAAAAAACCCAAACCAAAACGTTATTAGAGCCCAACTTACTTCTACAAAGAAACATCAACAGTCAAAGAAAAATAGCAATTATAAAAAAAGCAATGCTAAACAGAACTACACAGTATACAAACTCACATCAACATGAAGCCAGAGGCCATGCTTTTCACAGATGTCGGCAATTTTATCCAGAGGATCAAATGCTCCCAGCACTGTTGTGCCTGCTGTAGCACAGACAAGAAATGGTGCTGACCCCTGCAATAGGATTCAAAACAAAAAATTGTCATTTGCACTGCTCATTTCCTCCAGTATATCGGCAGAGCTAAAGTATAAAAAGGTTTAGGAATGTAGGACAAAGACACGACAGTCTACATTTTAGTTTCCCAGCAGAAGGTACCGCATTTAAAAGTGCTGACTTTAAAAAAAAAAAAAAAAAAAAACAAAAAAAAACAAAACCAAAAATGAAGACATTTTCCATTTCTAGTTAACACCATCCCAGGGCAGACTTCACCAGCTTCAGACTGTTTTGACAGATGCTAGTTTTGTCAAGATCAAAACATACTGGATATTTGACATCTCTCTTTATACAGCAATTTTCATTTCTCAGTCTTCCACATTTTACTACCATATTTGCTGCCACTCTGCCAAATAAAATAAAGCTACTAGCTCAGCCAGCAGGCTACCCATGCAAGAAAAGGGCTCATCCCTCTAGAGGTTCCACCTGCATTGTCTCTACAATGCCCCTGTTCTTCACCTGGTGAAGGGGAACCTTCAGTTAGGGAACACAAATTGCCTTCGGCAGCACTTGCGCTACTGTGACTGGGATAGTCATCGCTGTCTGACCCCCAAGCCTGATCTACAGCAAAGCACTATTCTCTTGCTCCTACCCCTGTCTAGAAAACGGGAAGGACTGCAGTTGGTAACTGAATGTTAGGAGAGACACCACTGGAAATCTCAGACCATTTTAAGGTTAGACAGGCGGGATAAGGAAAACTTTTGTCAGGTTGCAGTCTCAGACAGCCATCATAAGCCATCCATTTTGGTATCAGTAACTTTGCTCATCGCTTTCCCACTCAACTAATAGCAGGGGTACAATTACAATAGCAGACTAGGTCATGCACCATGGCAGATGTGCTTGTGTCTACTTAGGAGCAGAAACTGAAACAATGAAAAGAACTGGTGGAGTCTGTAACAATTCCATGAAATTGAGGGTATCAGCCCTAGCAATGACTGCGGTCTCACTTGCTGTTAAATACGTGCTGAAGGAACTCTTCTGAACGTTTCAGCATCTGGACCACAGGATGACAATGCAGTTACTGAAGAGGATTAAGATGTTACTAAATTGTACAGTCTGGGATCCCTGGAGTTCATTTGCAGTGAATTAAATCTCTCAGATGATATAAGTTTCTCTGCTGATGTAACTGAATGTAGCTTCACTGAAATCAGACATCAGCTGAAAAATCAAAACTCAACACGTGAGTCTTTTATGTATCTCCACGTCAGCTGAAACCTGATCTTTCTTAAAAAAAAAAAAGTATTGCCACTTTTAAACATCTGCTAGAGACAGACAGGCTTGATTCACATTTGCACTCTGACCGTTTTATACTTCTTTAACAGTGTAAAGGACTGTTGGAATGGTACATAATTATGATTTATTTGTATTTAAAGTTTCTTTACAAATTGCTAAAGCAGTGAAAAATAACCTTGGAATTTAAATTAATCCCATACAGTCACAAAGAATTACCAGCCTATAATTCACTTCTTGGTCATTCATTCCTAGTACAACCTACCACAAAAGTCAATCAAACTTACAAACCAGCCTGAAGCTCCAGTACAAAACACTTGCAAGTGAGGCAAAGAGGTATCTGCTGCATCTAGTTTCTGTTAGCGTTCTCACCAATTTTCTCCCTCAGCTACATCAAAGTCAAAGGTCCCCCAGCAGCCAGTAGGTAACATGACTGAATAGGAGGACAAGTCCAGGACTTCTACAAATTCCAAAGATCATTACCATGACATTTTTCCTGCAAAGAATGGAATTAAATTTTTATTCTTCTTGACAATGTAGTTAAATAAATCTTCCTGAATAAATTCTCTAAAAAGAGGCCTAAGTCATGCTACTCAGTCAGTGATCATTTTGTGCTCCTATCACTAGCAAATACATCCTCTGTGGTCTAGAGCCTAGAATATTTACTGTAATTCATTGAAGTTACCTTTTGTAAAAGTTGTAAAGTAGCACTTTATCAAGGACAGACACACTGAAGCTCTGATGAACTGAAAACCTTCCAATTCACCTGTAACTTCCATTAAAGTGCAAGTGAATTAGTGTTCTCCTGTAAGCAGAGCATTTTAATATAGAACATTTGCTTTTAAATTGCAGAGCACCATACTGAGATTGACTTTTTTTAAAAATCATAAATGCCAGAGGGTTTCTTTCAAATAACCATTAAATTTATTATTACATCAACAAACAAGAATTGTTTTTGCAAGAGCAAAGAGCTCGTTCTCCTGTCAGCCTGCTTCCTCTTGCTCCATTTTGTTTCAGTCCTTTTTTTGTCCCCAGCTTGCTCAAATGGGTAAAGTAGAGGTTGTCTTCCACAGATAATGCAAAGTACAGAAAGAGGCAAGCAAGAGAGTTTGCTAGGTCATTAGGGCCACCATGTATCAATAGTTATGCCATCTAGCATGAAACTCAAAGAAGAGATGGTTGTTTGGCAGAAGATCTATCTAAATCAGATCTTAGTGAAAACTGTTATGGCCATGCCAGTGCCTGACAGGACAACACTGCCTTGGCTTTTCTATCAGCCACAAAAGTAGGTTTCCCAAGGTAGGATTCTGTGGTAGGCATCGTCCACACCATGGACATTGCACTAGTTGCTTGGTATTCACAGATCATGGACTAAGGGCTGAGCTCTGAATCCTAATCCTCTGATGCACAAAGTGGAAGTGAGAAATAAGGTGAGCTAACCAAGCCAAAAAGAAGATGCTCTGTGCCTTAGAATTCACATTCAGTCCTACAAGCTCTCCAAAATAAAGTATGTTGACTACAGCAAGCACTGTCTTACAGATTGTGGAAATGTGTTAACGTTGCCCAAATACACACATCAGTACATTTCCAAATGCTGGCCTTTGACTTTCTACTTGGCAAAGTCCCTGGGGGAAAAGAGGCACAGGACACAATCTCTGCACTCTTGCTACAATGCTAGAAAGGACCAAATTTAGCATTTGTAGTTTGTATGATTGTTTTAGAGACTAAGCCACATGTTACAGTTCTTGTTCACTGCAGAGGACAGAGCAGTACTGCTGTAATTAACTGAAAAACCTACAGTTTTCATTTACTGTTTAAGGAAGTCAAATACTGCATCCATTTAAAAAAGGATCAAGGGCAAAATAAATCCTAGAAGAAATGTGCTAAATACTTCAGAGCAGTGTTGTACTCGGGACTTTCCTTAGTAGTAAACACCCTGTTGAATTTTAATCCCTTGCAAGAGTGCAGCACCTAGAAGTCTTGGCTTGTTCCACAAGTTTATGGCAAATGGATTGCACCTGTAAGAAAGACACTGTTACATTAACTGCCCTATTTTTAAGATTTCACTCACTCTTAGTTTTCCTTCCTTTCACTCAGACACAAGCACATAGTCTGCATGCAGTCTTCTCCACACTCTCTCTCCCCCTCTCACCTCTTTCCTGGCCCGTTGGACTTGTTTCTCCAGTTCCTCAGGTATCATCTTACCTCTAAGGGACACAGATTTAAAACTTTTCAGTTACATTCAAATAGGCTGGTTATGTACAGCACTACTGCATTTTAAAAAGGCTCAGAGACCACAGCCGTGGCTTTTCCTTGCTTACCTTTCATCTGCTTTGATGAAGTAAACATTCTCTGTACCAATACCCAGGAAGGAGGCTGCCTTCTTCATGGAGTAATGACACTGTAAATGAAAGAAGCATGGGAAAAAAAAAAAAGAAGTAAGCAAGCAATTAAAACGAAAGAAAGAAATTCCTTAGCATAGGGAACAGTGACACTGAAATTAATTTAATAGCAGCTAACAGTCATGACTACAGCATATCCTAACAAAAACTGACAAAGCTACAGAGCACCAATACCATCTTATATTTAACAATGACACACACTTAAGACTGGGGAAAATAAGACAAAAAAAGATGTGCACCATGTTTAAAATGTGAGCTTAAAAAAAATAAAAAGCTCTATTCCATATACTTTTTTTTAAAGCTGGTTCTGCATTAGAATGAAAAGTAGAAATCTTGAAGTGTCATCAGGGAAGAATTATTAATTGTTTCAAAATGTTTTAACAGAACTGAGTCAAAAGTATCAATGAGTGTAAGAGTTAGGAAATGCATGAGAAGAAAGGTCCAAAGGCTATCGACTCAGCTGCCTAGAAGCAACCCATAGGTCTGAAAGTCCAGAAGCACCACTCTTTGGAAACTGGACCCTTAATCAGGATATATCATGTGATATAACTAAAGCCTTTACCAATTTATCCATGTCATTTTTCTATGTGCTTTCTCTAAATATCAGCTGTTGGCCACTGCCAGAGACGGGATACTACACTAAACTGACCCTTGGCCTGATCCAGCAACTCTGTGCATAGCACCAAGGAGCTCCAGCCCCAAAACTTACCAAAGCCTTTAGATGTGGTACAATTAGGACTTCCAAGGCTTTCAAAGCCCTATCACTGCAAAAGGATCTAAAAATCATGGTGTTATGAAGGTTGTTCACGTCAATGTGACTCTTAGAAGTCATTATGAAAGCAAGCAGACTTTAGATAGGACTCAGCACATCTTCAAAAGTTAATATGAATTTTGCAAAAGGTTCCAGTATGGACCAGTCTGCATTTTTCAGAAAATGAAGTTACTATTTCAGCAAAGAATTTTAGCTAGGTGTCATCACAGAGACGTTTTTGAATGACTACAGATATATGCAGCCCACTTTTCAGTTTGCACTGAATAAAGGGCATTAGTGTATGAAGCTTGTGAAGCAAGTGTAAAAGAAGAGGCCCCTTCACCTGCTCAAAGGATGTTAGAAATGGGTGTTTATTCAATCAGAATGTGATAAAACGGCTCTGCTGAGAAGGATACTTAAGCCCACAGTCCACTCTGTACTTTTTAAAAAGCTTTTTTCTGTTAAACAAATATTGAAGGTATATCTTACCGCATTTCCAACATTCACCTCTATAAGGACCTGCTCTACTGTGGATACTGTTACTCCAGCATAAGAACATTTTATCTTATTCCAGAACAACAGTATGCTGATCCCTGGTTAATCCATCTTCAAGATTAGCCTGGGAATTCAAGATACAGTAACCTTCTTAATCTGAAGATATTTTTAGATGTCAAAACCACTCTGAATAACCTGCAGCATGCCAAATGTCTACACCACTCAGCAATGGAGTCAGTTTTGACAGTATGCAGCATCTCACAGGACTACACAGTTCTTCTGAGAATCAAGATCATCCAAGCCTTGGATAATCACTGCTCTTCTCAAAAAATATAATTGGCTGTTTTTCACATTATTACTGAAGAGTTAAAATAACGCATACTCCAGCAACTGCGAAGATGTCTAGAATTGTTACTTTTCATACGGGAGGTGAAGCCAGGTGGTTAATTAATTCCACTTTCTTCCAGAGAGTTCACACAAATGCAGTTACTGCAGAACATAATTATGAAAAATGTACAACATTTTAATGTGTGGGTATGAATATATTAAGGGTATTAAGGCCTGTCACGCTTATTTTGATGAGATGGATCATCTCAAAGGGCTCTTTTTGACAAAAAGGTTTCCCCCACCATGATCTACTTTTTAAATAAAGGCATTCAAAGATACTACCTGATACTATCAGGTAGTTTTAAGAAAGCTTAATTCTGTAACATCACACATTCACAAAGCCTTTAGGGCTCACTCATTTAGACTGTTAAAAGAACAGAAACATACATAGGTGGATAATTAGTCCTACATTATATCAAATTACATCAATAATGGTAATAATGATTGTAGAGTGGCTGTGTGTTGTTCAGTAGAAGTTTGAAGATGTTTTCAACTGGTTAGTGAAGCGCTCAAAATACAAGTTGCCTCCATCACTGATTTCTATCCATTAGGTTAAAATGAAAGGTATGAATCACCAGGAATAAGCAGATTGCTCCAAACTGAGAAAGCAGTAGACCTGAAAATTCACTATACTAGTAAACAGGCAATCACTAAATCATGTATTTTATTATAAAAAATGGTATGGGAGACTGGGAGAAAGATAAGAGGCCTGAGCACCTGAGAGAATATACAAAAAAGCAGAGGGAAAGAGAAGGACAAAGGGAATACTAAAACAAAACAGGCTGCAAGACACATTATTTCTCGCCTCCACAAGTACTTCTGCGCCTCTTGGAAAATTTTGTCAGGTCTTCAGTAGGACAGCAAAGGGACAAGACTTATACTACCCCACAGACTTGGAATATGCTTTCCTTGATGAAAAAAGTAGTCTTTCAGTTATATTGATTGAAAGCATAAAAAATTCTTTTTTTCCCCCACTATCATTACTAGAAGCCATTATGCTAAATTACACCACATCAAGAAAAAATATACCAGAGAACATTTAGCAGCTCCAGTCACAAGTGTCAACTAATTCACTTGTTCATCGTTCCATTTCCAAAAAAAAAAAAAAGAAAGAAATATTCAGATAAAAGGTATTATTTGTATCTAGATTATGTATGTAATTTGAAATAATAATTTTAAATACTGTGAGTTCAGATTACTCTTGCCACATCTTTTGCAATTTTGTTTAGACCCATTATTAAATCTGTAGCCATTTGTAGCAAGAAATTAATTCCTTTGAGCACAAGATCAAATTGGAACAGTGCATTTAAGATGTGCTGCTGTACTATTTTAACTATAGCTAGACATAGTTTTCATTTCCTAATAACATTTGCAAAGACAAGGTACTTTCCCCCTGTGCTCATTAAAACAGAAGATAAATTTGGATCTTCTTGCTTTTGAAAAGTTTCCTAGAAACATGGTTGCATAAAGCAATTACATTATTATGAGATTGTTTTATTGCTCATTTTTGTCTGTTGTAATTTCAACAGGGGACAACATGGTGAGTTAATGTTGTGTTCTCTCACTTTATTACTTTCATGATCAAGTTGCACTGGGGAGGAATTTAGTTTCATTGCATCTAAAAAACTGCTCATATCAGCATGCACATTTCAACTGTTTACACATCCTCTTCTACCCTCAGTTACCTCAAATTTAGCAGATTTCTACCTTTCAGGTCAATGCAATACATTCTTGGGTCCAAATAAAGTTCAGATGGGACTCAAATAGCAAAAAGTCATAAAAAGGTGGGCGGACATCTATAACTACAACTGTATTCAGTTCATATGGAACCACAAATCATGCCTCAAGAAGAGTGGGATATAACCATTTCTCTACTACTGCTACTGTCTCAAGAGGAATCACTCTGTGATGGTCCAGCAAGAAAACTACAAAGTAGTAGCATAAAGAGTTTTCATTATCACCATAATTTTAAGTAGCTAAGCATTTTACTTGGAGGAACAAGGAGCCTTTTCATTCCTGAAGGCCAAACAGAGCATGTGAGGACCTTGGGTGGGCCATGCATTAAAAATACATCTTTGTGTTATCCAAGAACATACAAATAGCCCCAGATCACATAAAACTGAATCAGTGACAAATCCATGCTCTCCCCTGCTCTACAGCAAGGCAACTCTTTCAGTCTGCCAAGTGCCAGACTGAAACTTTGAGACTTGGCAACTCAAGGCAAAAATCATTTTATCTGAACACAGTGTTGAAGCCAAGCCCTAAAAATGACAAGTGCCTTCAGCAGCCATATGTTTTGACTCCTTATCAATACTCTCAGTTGATTATAGCCTCGTGGCTTCTCCGTGCCAGCACTGTTAGCGTGATCACATTGAAGATAAACACAGGTTGTTAACTTTCCAAGACAATTTTTTTTTTTAATCATTTGCCTCTCCAGGTACCTCTTCAGTGAAAAAACAAAAAAAAAAAAAGAAATAAAAAAAAAGCAAGCAGCACAAAATGCTAAGTAAAAGAAGGCTCAAAATAAAAACAAATAATAAAACTTCAGATTGTGTGACACAAGCACTTGTGTACTTATCTTCAGGGTGGGCCATTTATTACATATATTCTCAATATGACATATCTGAACTAAACAAAATTCCAAAAGGTAACATAACTTGGACTCAGTACAGGTGGTTCTAAAATAAGTATATATGAATATGCACATCTTCTCCCTCATGACCATGAATAAACACTAGAGATCTTAGACAATAGCCACAATATCTAACTACTAAAAGTGGCAGTTTAACAGTAAGTGATTATTGAGTACTAAAGACAACATGGTTTTGTGAATCAAGCAAAGTATTGGACATCAAGAGCATTGCCTTACAAACAGATAACCAATTTATTTTTCCTGGTCAGTTCCATGTTTTATGGGTTTGGTCTTTCTGGTGAAGCAAAGACATCAAAATAAATTTACTCTGAGGGTCAAATAAAATTTCTTTTGTCATGAAATTAAATGCTTGTTTGGTTTGGAGTATGAGAGTATACATTTTAGTTAAATCTCACAATGAAATAAAGTGTTACTTAGTGATAGAAATTCTACATGCTTCACCTCAAAAGCATTAACAGAACATGTTTCAACCTCATTTTTTCTTCCTTAGCTATTTTTAAGATGTAATGTGATGGATTAAGTATGAACTGGCATGTCATTTCATATACACACTTTTCAGAAAGAAAAAAACTAAATATATTTTGCCCAGGAAAAAAAAAATCCCTTTATTTATGACATTTGGATTCAGTTCCAAAATATATGTGCTGTCTTGAACAACTTATGCGATGCCTTCATCCCTCCGGCCTTTTCAAAATAAGCCTCTTGTCTATTTACACTGCAAACTGTTTGGAGCATAAACTTAAGAACTAAAATTATTCTAGTAACTATATACATCCTAGTACAACAAGGTTCTTACTTCCACTGCGGCCTTTATATAGTGGAGTCAGAATTAATAATAACTCTGTACTAATCAAATGATAAACTCTTAAAATTGGAGGGACAGGTGAAAGAAAAAAGCCTCCAAAAATCAGCTTCAGAGGAAACGTATGAATATAACTCAATTTCCCACAGACAGTTTGGACAGATATTCAAAAACTTTAAAACTAGCCACATATTTTCAATTATTTAAAGAACTGTCTGAAGACCAAGCAGTTTTTTTTCCCAAAATGCTTTATGGTGAGTTTGGTTCTGTACCACAACCAATCTGTATGCAGACATAGGGCAGAGTGGGAGCTGCAGAGAGCCATCTCACAGGTCCACAAGTGCTCAGCTTAGTACAGATTAAACCTGCAGAAAACAGCTTTGACATCCAAAACCTACCTATGGCTCCTGCTGGACTTCCCATGATGTGGGAAATCAAACGCTGTAGACCTCCACAACAGACCACATGCATTCTGCTTCAGGTTTGCCCCACATAAAACCTATTCTTATATCAGCAGTTTCCAAGAGCAGGAACATCTGTGTTTGTTTTCTGAAAGCACAGAAGCTTCTGCAGGGAAATTTACTATCAGGCTTCTCCATTTAGCTCCAATGTTCCACATCATACACAGATGACAAATTTATTGTACCAGTGCCCCATCAGATATGCAAATGATATAATTTTGCAGCCATTGAAAAATAAAGTTCAAAAAGCTTTTTTGTTTTGCTTTTACCTCTTCTGAAGTGAACAGGACTAGTCTTGGCAAACCTGAAAGTCCTTTTTCCTTTATCTCAGGACAAAATTTGTATCTTGCTAAGTTCATAGCATACATATTAGAAACAGAGCCACCTGCAGAAAGAGACATACAAATATCACATTAGCCACAGTCCTGTCACCTGTCCTGTGTCTGAGTGCTTGACCTATTGGGGGGGGGGGGGAATCAAACATACAGTTTTCCTATAGATGCATCCATCTAGCTTATTTCCTCCCCAAAAGCCTACAGACATAAAATGAACTTTGGGTTCTGCAGCATGCATGGAAACAGAGCATGTTTGAATGCTCTTTGGGGATATTTCCTGAAGAATAAGAACTGTGCCCAAACAGTCCTCCCCAACAGAGAATACCCTACAACAGCTCTTTCCCATTTACACTGAAGCAGTGCCAGCTCAGCTGCCCGCACCGAGCTCAGCTGTGGCTTCACCGTATGGAGCCTAGGAGATCTCTTGGGCAACAAGGCCTCAGAGTATTACGGGGAGAAAAAAGCCATTAGAAAAAAAAAAAAAAACCACGAGTGGGAACTGGAAGATCTGCAAGGTAAGATCTGGACAGGTTTTATTCACTTAAAATAACAAAACCAAAATAATAAGAAACGCCCTTACATAAAACTAGCACAAAAAAGTACAATCCGTTTATCTTAACAGTATCTCAGTAAGTTTTAATTAAGCAAGTCTGCCATAAAAGCAAGGATTCCACTGAAAATACACATCAAATCTGATGTGAAAAAATCCATACCTTCAATATATTTAAAAAAAAAATAGAAAAGCTTCACATCTAGCCTACCAGTTTGTTATCTGAATAATCTGTGGAATAAAATCATTATGCTTCATTATTTCAATACAGTGGGCTGGAACGCTGTTTTACAGAACATTTGAAAACCGTGACTTATCAAGAAGCTTAAGAAGTATTTGTTTGGTTGGCCTTATCGCAACTTTTAATAAAACTATCAAAACTCAAAGGAGTTAAGCTCATGACACTCTCAGTAAGATAAACTCTGGCTCCCACAGTTGATATGCAGGATACACAGATCAGTGCCCTCAGGCACCACTGGTTGGTGTAGAGCATGTAAATCAGCTCCCTGTCTGTCAACCAATTTGACTCAGTCCAGTGAGGTTGTTGGTACTATTGTTAATAAGGTCAGGAAGGGCATCAGTTACAAACAATTAATTTCCACATAATTATATTTAATGTAGAACTGTTTTCATTCATTCACTGATCAGATTCACAGAATTATTACTAGAAACACATAAAATAAGCCTGGATTAAATAGTTGTGTGTGCGCCATCACTGGATTTTTGCATGCATTTTCAAATATTCTACATGAATCCAATATTCACGGAATTACTGGTATTAGTTGGTTTATAATGACTCAGCTTGAAATCTGAACTGTTCCTACCTGGATTAAATATACCATCACCTTCTTCCCAGCCTATGAACTCAATCATTTTCTTGATGACTGCTTCTTCCACCAACAGAAACACAGGGGATACTTCATATGTATATCTGAACAAAAATAAAAGCATCATGAGTGGTATTAAGACTAAAGAACTCGTGTCACAGAATATTGCTAAAACTAGATAAACGTTTCTTGCACTTTAATCTATCAGAAGCTGACCACCATCAGCAGTAGAACTCTAAGCTAAAAACACTATGGATCTGACCCAGTAGAGCAATTGCTTAGTTCCTGCCAGCATCACATTGACACTTCCACTCTCAAAGTAATACATCAGAGTTTGCTTTTCATGTATGTCACGGGCTTAAATTTCAGCTATAATGATCTATTGCAAACAACAATTACTTTTTGTTTAGGCTTTACATTTGCAAGTAAACAGTAGACAGGTAACCATTTGCATTCAACTCTGTGCAGAATGCTTCAAAGGAAATGAAAACTGAGTAAGTCTGATTAATTAATTTTTATGCACTAAGAAAGATGCTTGTTTAAAATGCTTGTTTAAAAGCATTGAAAAACAAAGATCTCTCCTCTTAAACCCCATGTCACAAACTAGAAAAAAAGGCCTCATCAGATTAACCAACCTTCTGGTTAGCTATTCAGCCAATCCAGACTGTTTTCTCTCCCAAATTCCTGCACAATTCCTACCTCCTCTGTAATACTGAAAACAGAAATTAGAAGGGGGTAGGGTGCAAAAAAGCTGTTATTCCAAAAAGCATGCTAATTCATCATCAAGAGGACAATGAAATACACTTACACACTTGGGTTCAGTGCTTCTGTAATGAAACGAGCCACTAACGAGTAATAATCTATTCCAGCATACAGCTGGTTGAAAAATCTTGGATGACCTGAAAATAGAGATGAAAAGCAAGCAGTGACAGGACATACGTGAAAAGAGAATATATCACAGGCCCTCTCAGTTGAACACTGATCACTGCAAATCACAATTCACTCCATTTTCTCAGTATTTTCTGAACTTACTGTCCTTTCCTTAGATTAGGCAATCCCTTGAAAGTAAATTTAATAAGCACTTTCAGGTCCCAAAACAAGGTTTGAGAGATATAAATAGTGCACAGAATGAATGTGGGTTGTTCACAAGTTTTACAAATCAAAGAAAAAGAAAAGGAATTGACAACTGAGTATACACCATGGCTTTTAACGGCAATCTTGAGGCCACGATGGATGCTCAGCCAAATTTTGTTAAGCAGTAGAATACAGGAACCTGCTGATCCCAGGCAGCTGTGCCTATGCTTCCACCGAAGCCTCAGCATTGAGAGAGAGAGAGGCAGTTTAACATCTTGGAAAAACCTGCTGCAGACTTGAAATGACAAGTTAAGAGAATTTGTTTACCTGCCTCAAAACACCGAGATATAACTAATTGTGAGAAAATTCTATACCATCGCTGACTATAAAAACAAGTCAGTTCAGCAGCTGGATCATCACCTAAATTTTAATGCACAGCATAGTACTTTTACATGCAAAATCAGGTAAACTGTATGGCTCCATTTATATTATATCTGGGGCTTCAATAAATGTTTATACTTAGATTAAAGACTATTTGCACAGCATATTTTTATATACAATATTCTTTCTAAGGTGACATAGTGTAACAAATGAAAATCTAAAGCCAATTTGCAAAAGTAAGATAAACAGAACACCTTCCAGTAACTCAGTAATTATATCTGCGTATTATTAGTGCACTCCCCCTGTAGATCAGTATTGCTACTTTTCTGTGGTTTTCAAAGGCATGCATTCACTCTCAAAATTATTTTACGGTTCTACTTTGTTCCTTGTACCAAGGAACATGCCCTGGAAATCCACAACTAACTACATCAAATGTCATTCTCACTTTCCAAAACACAGTCTAAGCTATGCCACATCTGAAATCCCAAGCTACTGATCCACAGCAGTTTCCGGAACAGATGTTGTTAGTCCCTTTTTGCCAAGATTGAGTTATACTACACATGCTGCAGAAAGGTTAGCCGTAGAGAACTAACCCTATAGAGATGTGGTATACTGTCTCTGAAACATTGCAAACTCTTTTCTCACTGTGTCTGGAACAGGAATTACTGCCTATCAGCAAATTAACACCCTATCGCTCAAAAAGAACAATAGTAAATGTAGGGTAATCATCACTAAGAATGCATGAGGGCAATGACTGCGACCCCACTCCTCACCACCCAGACAGCAGGAAATCACACCCAAAGGTCCTTCTACCTGTTTTGCTAGACTGTTATATCATAGCTGTCTAGGTGACTTTCTCAAGACTTCAAAATGACAGAATCTACCATTAATGTCAATGGCATTACAGGAACTAGTTTTCAATTAGTTTGCCATGATTACACATTTTAGTCAAACCTGTAGTGACCAGCATTCAGTCAAACAACAGGAACACAGCCAAATGTTTGCATAGTTGTATAGGCAGGCAGAAAACAAACATTCACACCCCCAGTCTCCCGAAAGGCGACAAAACTTTGTAAACGTTATCCTGTCTTCCTAAGTCAGCATACAACATAACTTCACTAGAAATCACATTCCTACTGGTTTTGACGCTGTATTGTATAACATCTCGGCAGAGTTGCAAGAGTTTCTGATGAGATTCTCCAGCGTCCCTCATTTCCAGGTCAAGAATCTGCTTCAATGTTTCGGGGGCTCGCCATTCACAAACCTAGTGATGGGGAGAGGGGGAGACACCAGCAGTGAACAGGTGAGCCAAGAGGAAGAGGTCATAAATGTACAAAGTAAGCACCACATTCAGCACTGGTTTCACAAAACTGCCCATTGCAGGGCAGCATGCCACCACAAAATATCTCTGGTAAACTGGTCTCATGGGATCTTGGTTTTATTGTGTGTTGGGCATTGCTTGACCATAAAAATTAGAGTGGGGAATGCTGGAAAGCAGAAAAGCAAAAGAGCTGTTCTGCCAAGGTGTGGGAGCAACCAGTGCATGCTCAAAGGCAAGCCCGATTCATTTGCAGCTCCTTTTCCCATACAGCCTCTTAAGTAGTGTTTCTGAGAAAACCACAGCAGTCTCATAATGTTGCCCTTCCACACTGGTACCACATCCACTGTTCCTCCTTCTCCAATACCAGTGCCCCTCAGGAGCAAACAAATAATTCCCCCCAGCCCAAACAAGAAAAACACTACGCCCACTTGTCATGTCAAAGAAAGTGCCCATTGTACTCCAAGATTAAAAAATTCATTATTTTCTGGAAAATATTTACACTAATTATGTTATTGAAAGATTTTATAATGCGATCTTTCTTAATTTGTAAGGCTGTCTTTTTATTTCAGAGCCAGGCACAGACTATGTAAGCCTTAAAATTGCTTCTAAAGTGCAATAAAATACAGCTTAGAAAAAAATTGATTTATTGTTCATTTTCTCTGTTATAAATGCTCAACAACACTCTATGGCTTTACCTTTTCTGTTACATCATCAGCTTTCTGGATGACTTCTTCCATTATAATATTACAGGCCTCTTCCACAAACTTCTCTCCTGCTTTTGAGTCCATTATTGGACCATTTAGGATGACCCCATCCACCAAAACAGCATTCTTCTTCTGGAGCATCTCCTGTTTGCAAATGCCATCTGTAAGATAAATAATTCACCATTAGAGCAAGGCCTGGACAACTAAATCATAAACAAAAAAAATATTCTTTCATCGCTGAAGATTTAGTCAACTTAAGGAAAAAATACACATGGACTTTACACATGTACAAAAATTCTAGCTTTTGGTGGAAGAATCTTTACAGACAGAAAACCCAATGTGTTACTTCAAACCTAGATTGTTATTATGTAGGTAATAACAGCCTACTGTATGGTATCTACTGCTTTCTGTAGCTTACAAAAGCATGCAAGGCACCTTCTAAACACAGAGGAAAATACAGTTCTGGCCTAGAACATGATACAGCTGGATAAAGAGAAATGAAGTGCAAGATAATAGGCATTTTTCTCAGCTGAAAATGTTTCCCTCCACACGTTATCCCTCCTGCTCCCCATTTTTCATGAAATAATTTTTAGTTTCTTTTCCCATATCTTCATGCTGCTCTTTCCCACCAGCCAGTCCTATTGCTCTGAGTCTTCTGCATCCTTTGCTGAGTGTTTCACTGATCCATGCTCCATGAAGATAAAACCTTTTGAGATTACTGTCAATATCACATACCTGTACTTCTCTCCTTTCTGCCCTCATCCTATTATGTGCCCTCAGTCACTAATTACAGATTATCTTGTTTATTCACTTCAACAATGATCTCTTTCCTCTGCCTCACCTTTATCCACTAGACTACTCTCCTGATGTTTTCCATAAACACATCGCTACTTCCTCCTTTACATTACCTCTGAAAGCACATCCAAGATGCTTGTAAGACACTGGCCAATAGCGTCAACTACGTATCTATTTCATGTATTGATTTCATATGGTAAGATCAGGACTCCACTTTTAATCAAGGTGAGGATAAAGGCGAAAGTGAGACATTTGGAGATATCAGGGGAACAGACATTTGAAACAGTATAGCACTGAAAGGAGAAGCAGTAACTACCATATCCAAATTATCTGGCTTACAGACAGCATCTGTCCACTGATCTCGCCTTAGAGTACCTAAGATCTATGAAGCCACGCAGCATTGCCTTGAAGGGTCATCTTCATCTACAGTGAGGATGGTGGAAGGGTAAAGATGTATGAATGAGAAAGTTCTATACCCAAAACAACTTTATCTTCTGCTTTACTTTTTGCTCCAGTTACAAAGTACAGAAGAAAGGTAGCTTCTTCACAGGTCTAAACCAACTGAATTTCCAGAAGACTGCCAGACACTGCAGTCTGACACATTCATCATGCTTATAATAATTACAGTTCCTCATGCACAGGAGGACATCGAAGAACAATGCTGCGTAGAAAGGTGCATGACTTCGAGGTTCATTGATTGAAAGAAATCCTGTCAATCCCATGATCTTTTATTTACTGATGACTCAGAGAAGCTATTCAGTTCACTTTCACTTATCAGGAGAGATATGACAAACAAGATAAAATTCCAACATGAGATGGAACCTCAGGCTTCCTATAACACTGATGACAAAAATGAGACCCCCCACCCTCTGCATTTCTGAAATTACTTCTATTTTTAATCCAAATGAGCAATATACTATATTTTGCTGAACAGAGTAGCCTTCAGCACATTGTTATAGGAGAGGCATAAATGTTCTTGTGGGAGAGATACAGAACAAGCAGATAAACAGTATTACATCTTCAACAGGCAAAGAGGGAAAATCACAGATGTCAAAAACGTCAATTCTTATCATGCTTCCCAGCACACCACAGCAGAGGCACTGTACAGAAATTGCAGCTTTGAAAAAGTCTTAGAGGTTTCTCTCTGAAAACACAGGCTAGTAGGTCAACTTTACAAGACTTAAAACACCAGGTATTAACAAGGAATTGGAAGGCATCAGGTCTTTGGGCAGACAGAACAGGCACTATTTTTGGATTGAGAGTTAGTTATTTGATGCATAAATAGCTGCCTTAAGTACTAACCAGAGTTCAACATAAACACAAAAAAGAATCTCAGCCTTGACATCACCTGAAGATGCTATCATCTCCATGTATGTCAAAGGTGTTTTCTTTCTATGGAAAAGAGGACAGGATCTAAAAAAAACTACATGGGAGATTAATATCTATTGCAGAGCACAGATGTTAATACTTCCTTTGGTTACAAGAAGAATAGATGGTGGAGCTCACCAACCTCACTAACTCCTTTTTTCTGCTGTGCTCCACCTCTCAGGTCTCTGCTAGAGCCAGAGCTGTGCAAAAGCTTTCTGTTGGTAACTCCATCAGCCCTATTTCTGACACTTTTGCACAGAGATGTGATACTAGTACTTCCATGACTTTACATGATCTCTCCCAGGGATTCTGAGAAAAGCAAAAGCAGACTTTACATCACTTTTTCTGCCACGTCTTTAGGGGGCTGGGTCATGGGTAAAAGAGCAGCTCCCTGTTTGAAGTGGGTCTGTTCACCTCTACACACAGTTTTACAGTCTCCACAGGACACTTTGTGGAGCCTGAGGAAGAAGGGATCCTCTGGAAAATAGGTGACAGTCTACCCCTAGTCCCAACACATCTAATGCTGGGCCTCAGGCACAGTCTATGAAAGAGAAAGGCAAAGCAGAAGGGTCAAAAGAAGGGAGGGAAAAGAGCCTTCATTTCAACAGCAATTTACCTGTGTAAGGCTTCAGCAAAGAGTTCAGGACTTAGCCCACATTATATTTCATTAAATAATACACTTTGCAATTATTTACCACTTTCTCAATAATTTTTTGGTTATCACTTATCATTTCAATCTGAACTTGCTGAGCTCAATTCTACCCTGGAACATACCATAAGACTATTACTAGAAATTAATAGGAACAACTATTTCACAATCAGCAGCTAAATCAAGCCCCAAACATACACATTTTCCAAGGCAAAGGTCTTCAGGTTTTGCAAACCACTGGTGGATATATACACTATTCCCATCCCTCATGATTTTACTGCAAATCCTGTGATACTTAATCTTCTACTTAAAACTGTCTGACTTCTGGAGTTCTTATGAGAATTCCAAACTCTTCTTTACTGAAAAATAAATGTGTTTCCTCCTGGTTGCAGTAAAAACCTTGAAGAGGAAAACTAAGTAGATGATAATATCAAGTCTGAATTTCCATAACATTTTTTTTCCTTTTATCACATTTTTTAAAAGATCCATGACCAATTTATTATGTTTTAGATGGGTGAACCTCCAGAAAGATTCAAGGTTCACTTTGTATCACAGTACCCAAATTAAATAGCATGATTTTAACACCTTCTCAGAGCTCAGCAACCAAGCTAAGAAACTCACACACTATCTTTATAAGCTCATAATGTGTTGTCTCTTTAAAAAAAAAAATCTTACCTCAAATGCTCAAAACATTATTTTCCAAGAATTTGGGGCCTTTTACATATCTATCTCAAACATACCTCATTGCACTAAGGGAATGTTCCACATGGAGCCTACTTTGTAGAAACATCTTGTCACATATACATTTTTTGTTTTCAAACATGATAGGCAAACAATCTAGAGATGTGGCTGCAATAAATATATTCTTTTCTATTTAAGAATACAGAAGCAGACTCCTAAGCAGACTCAGAAAAACAGACTTCCAGAAAGCATATCAAATGCAGTTTCAGCCAAATGGTTCCAGGCTTAAAACAGAACTGAAACTTTACCAAATGGAAGTGCTTTAAATCAGAGATTAAGGATTATTGACTGTTCAAGATATCCTTCAGCAAAAAAGACGACTCGATCTTGCTCCAATTGAAAGCAATTGGGCATTTAGCCACTGGCTTCAGCAGTGACAGAATGAAGCCTGTAATTCTCACATTTCATCCTGAATGAAATATTCTGTTACAGAAGCCGAAGGATTTCCAACCAGCATTTCATTTTTATGATCAATATTATTTTCCCAGCAGAAAACATAAATTAATTGGAGCTGAAATAAAGTACAGAAAGACAAACATTTTCTTCAGATGCTTCTATATCTTTATGTAAGCACTACCAAGTATTTTAAAAGCTGCATCTGTGTTTCCATAAACATATAGAAACTTTCACTGCTGAATTCTTGCACTACAAAAAGAAACTGGAGCCTTGTACTTGGCACATTCTGACAACATTTGGGAGAGTAGAATAAAATGCCCAGAAAGATTTACTGCTCACAAGGAAAAGGCAGAAACAGAAGGGGGTGGTTGTGAAAGAGTAGCTTGTGCTTGAATGCCAGAGCCAAATCCTGTTCAGTTTACACTCTACCAGTACTACTGACTATTCAAGCAAACGCAAAAGGCTTGACCAAAGGCCAATTTCTGCTTTGTAACAAATACAATAATAATTGCCAGCATTAATCAGAAAAAAATCTTAAATTTCTCATTCTGCATGATCTAGTCATGGTTCTTCTTTCAGAAGACCTCAGTATCTTCTTTCAGTGTGTCCAGAAAAAAGAAAACAAGTGAACTTCAGTGTCAAGACTCCACACCACCATGTTTAATGGATTACTGTGGTGCCATATCATGTATCAAAGTATTAAAACACAAACCTGTTCCATACTATGCAGCAATTTGAGTCCCTTGGCATACATAATCTTTAAAGACACTTTTGTTTCTTTAATCACCACTTTCTGTATGTCTATGACTAAAGCAAAGCCACTCCGGTTTTAAGGCAAAATACATAGTTTCTTAGTAAACTGATTTCCCAGGCCTGTTGCCAAGTAAAGGAGATGCAGGTTTCTTAGAATCCAGTATATAAGTTGACTTGGTGTCCTGGCAAAGCCATCCATAAGAAAAAAAAAAAAAAAAAAAGTAGGCACAGGTATGGTAAGGCTCATGCAATTGCCCCTATACTACATGTTCCTGTTTTGCAGGTTTATGGACCAGGCCTGTGGACAGGGAACAAGTTGGGTGCTTCCCTTCAGAAGGTCTGCAACAGCCCCCCCCCCCCCCCCCCCCCCCCCAAGGAATCCTCTGACTGTGAAAATGCAAACATGACCTTTACAGAGCAGGACTGAGGGAAACAAAAGTGCTTGTGTCCAGGCTCAAAGGCCCCTCAATAGGCTCTGGGCACACTGCTAGCACTGAAAGGCAACAGTACAACAAACGGGTCCTATTCTCCGTCCCACACCTAAATTTCCCCTTTGAAAGGAAAGGTTGGGAGGAGAGAGAGAAATCCGGAGAGGAGCCCCAGCGATTAATATCTGACAGGGAATGCAAGGTCCGCACTAGGAGAGAGGTTCTGTTTTCAGAGATGTTTCCAGCATCCTGAGGGGGCACCTGTATTAGTTCAATGCTCATGACATGCTGTGCCCATTCACTGCGTGCCAAGCACTTGCTATACACAACAGTACTAGGCAGGATATGCCAAAAAACAGCAAACAACAACAACAAAAAAAAAAAGAACCTAACAAAAGTTAAGAAACAAGAATCAGAAACTTTTATGCGGCCAAACCTCAGGAATTAATGTTAATATTTAATAACAGCTTCTCAATGCCCTAACCAAGTAACTGCAGGAATGACTCATGCTGTAACATTTCCAATTAGGAAGAAAGGCTGTGGAGAATTCCAATTCACCTTGATGCGAAACTGAGAAACGGCAGATGCCAACTATGAAATGGAAATCCCAGCTCCCTGACCCCAATGAGATTCTCTCTACTCACATGTTCTAATTTTTAACATCTGCCAACAGCATAGGAAGCATCTGAGAAACAAAATGGCTTTTACTTTAATTAGAAGTTGTACACTGATAATGAACATTTAATGAACATTCCTTTTTCTGTGGAAAAATGAATATATTTGCAACATCCAAGTCAATCACAGGCACTATACATGGGACAGCAAAGTTAACAACTTCAGGAGGCTAGTTCAGACAGAAGTGATGAATATATGTGTGACCCACATAGAATATAAAGAATCCCTGAGATTTCTCTGCTTCCCACTGGAAAAAATTGAAGTGAAAATACAATTGGGTTTTTTTCTAAATGGAAGTCCTGTAGCTTCATTTAAGAGTCCACGACAGCCTCTAATGTCATGCAAGAACTATATTTTTAGGCATAATATAAAAAGTTTTAACTCCAGTCTTTCAAAAATCAACTAAGAAAGCAGTAATTTACTAAATATGAGTTTTCTGGGATTCAATGCAAGTTAAAATGTAAAAATAGATGAAAAGTCTAAATTTCATTTTAGGAAGTTTTACCTCTACATTCAAGTTACAGTCAAAACTTTTTTCCCCTCTCACTTTTTGTTAACGTCATAAACACTTCCATATTTTCTGTTTCCTACAAAGGATTTCCAATTACTGCTCACTAACTTACATCTACAACATTGCTGAGATATGCCCTTATTTACTAACAGGGAGAAGCTAGTGCACAGTAAATCAGGATGTAACTTTCCAGCCCACTAGGTCCTCTGAACTAGTTTCTACGTAGACATAATTTATTAGCATATTACGTATAGCAAAGTAGTTCAATCCACTTTCAAAATGGAACAAGCTGCCTTGCACAAACTATTGTAACATTGCTGGTCAGATCAGCAGACACACAGATGAGGGACCCAGCAGGGCTCTGGACCCATCACTTCAGATCACGCCTGCCCCGATTCCCTATGTGGTTTTGGGAAACCACTCCTGAGCTGCAAGAGGCCAAGCTGCTGGGTGACAACACACATTAGCAAGTGCCAGCAGAAGACACTGGCAGTCCTTTTTGAGGGCAGCAGCCTGGATGATGCCTGGTAGAAGCACAGATCTGACCATGCTATGCATGCCAGGACTCACCAATGAGACCATATGATCCCTGCCCCAGCACAGCAGCTGAAAGAGGCCCAAACAGAATCCCCACACTACCTACAGTCTCACTGCACCCACGTCTTCCATTTTTCCTCTAAGGCAGGCAGAAGACAGATAATTTATTTGGGGTTTTTTTGACCATGCCAAAACTTTATTCAGTCATTTGAGATCAGCATCAGCACTGCAACCAAGTATCAGATACATACAGTATTTGTTGCTTACTCTTTCCCCTTCAGGCAGGTGTAACGGCTTTTTAACATGATATATTGGCCCCAAAGGGGGATCAATAACCCCTGAACAATGGCCTAGGTCTGTTTGAGAAAAATGAGTTTAAGAAGCTCAATAAGACACAAGCCATCTTGCAGTGTAACTAGCAGCAGGACACCAAGCTGCTTATGAGACAACCTTTCTTGTTGAAACCCTGACATTTGCCAATGGATAAGATCATATTTATGAGGCTTTTCAGCTTACATAAGGTGAGACGTGACAAAGGGCAGAGACATCCAAGCTTTAGAGCCAAAAGTTCTTCCAAATTATCTAGATTTAACCAGCTACTTTGTAGAGTTATTGCTACTTCGCTGACAAAAGACCTTGGTCACTAAGACCCACTTTCCTCATATTTACAGCACTGAAAAAACTCTGGTCTAGTGATGACTTCTTTAAAGACACCTCTATTTGCTGACACTTCACAAATTTTTCATTAAAAAAAAAGAAATCAAGATCACATATACTCAAGAAACAGTAATAGAGATGGACATACATACATGTGAACCAGGTCAAAGCCACCTTTTACTACCCTTAGACTAGCCCTGACAATAATCATCAACAAAAACAACCTCCACTGACATGCCACAAAGCAACAACCATTTGTATTTAAATTTATTATTCCCTCATTGCACATGTATAAACCCCACTAATGTTAAAATAAGATAACTTGTGTGCACAGGTGGGAGAACAAAAAAGGGGGTAAATGGCCCCAATTTAGCCATGTCCTGCTGAGCATCCTTGAGTGATTAGTGCTTTACAAACAACTACCTCCAAC